CGTCCCATAATACCAAATTTGGTATACGCGAAGCTAGCAAAACGACCACGAGCGCATCATGAGCGCGGCGTGTAGCCATAATTTACGTGAAATGCATGTCATGATTTTCACGTTAGGATCTGTCAATTATCTTCGCCATGCAGTCTGCAGTCATGTCATACCATACCAGTTTAGCAACACGTCATGTGAACGAAACGCACGGGCAGCAACATCATAAAATGTAAATCTTGACATTCATGACATACATGTCATTGTTTTCATGTTATGACTAGTCACTTATTCTCACCATACAGTCGTGTTATGCCTTACCAATTTTGGTATAGATACCATTATCGAAACGGCCATGAGAGCTAAAAGTCGTTGGTGGATAGAGAGACAGATACGCTCAAAGTCGCCAAAGTTTGCTAAGAAATGCTTCGCATTTAATATGATGCGCTGGTCAATAATTTAATAATGTCTCAATCGTGTCTCGTACGTCGTAAAACGTAATCTGTCAAACAGTGGCACATATCCGCGGGTGCGTATGGGTCATTGGTGAGCGGGTATGTGCCACAGGTTTGGCAGTTTCACTAGCTAAAATATATCAAATTTGGTATTACGTGACGTGAAGGGACGATGAAGGTAAATGACACTTCCAAACATGATTATACCTTATATGCGTGTCATGTAAAACATGTCTACATGCTACACTCATTGCGCGTTCGCGGCCGTTTTGCTTACTCCACATTTACAAAATTTCTTATCCCGTGACGGGAATAGATGACGAATTTAAATGACACTTACATCATAATCTCGAAATGGAAGTCATGTACGGCATAATTTACGACCGTCTTGTGTTGTGCTGGTTTTAAAGTGACATGTCAACCTTCCTCATTTGTGCTTCGCCTAACATTGATTCCCACTGTGCTTGGGATCTGCCTTTTTTTTTAATTCTTTAGTATTCCCAAAGCGGCAAGAAGCACATAGGTAATTTGTACGCGTGAGCGTTAAGAAAAAATTTGCATTGGTAGCGTTGACCTCACGGATGAAATATCTGGCACCGGAATATTTTTCCCTTACGTTGACTGATCTTTTTCCTCATGATTATCTCGTTATATTCCTGTCTTTCTTGATAAATTCATGGCAATCCTACTGGCTTTACGCCAGCTAAGTGCTTCGATTTTAGTAGTGGCAGTTTTAACTCACTCTTTGTCTGTGTGCATTTCACTTTCCACATCTGACGACACGCCCATATTGAAACTGTTTTAATTACTAGTTCCCTCGCATTTAAGGTGCATTCATTTCATCTGGGTGCCTGGCCACAGAGGTCTATTTTACAATGAAATGACTGATTCTAGTTATGACGGAAGAGAAAGTTATAGGGATGACCTTCGGAGACAAGCAGAGAGCAGAGTGGCTCAGGGAACAATTTGGGGTTAAGGATATCTTTCTTGCTAGGAAGCACAGCCACTATTACAAAGAACACACAACACAAGTGCTTAACTTCAACTAAACGTTTATTGCAAACGATAGTAGAAGCAGCTGAAATGACGCGCGATGATTTTGGTTGTGTTAGTGCACCTCTATCTCGCTCACGCGGAAAGAACTATGTTTTTTGGATGGGGTGATAGACGACAACGGATAGTAATGTACGGAACTGGCACGTGTGCTTTTTGTTGTCTACCATTATATTTTTTATTCATCTTTTTATTCATTTTCTCTTTTCAGCCCCTTTATAAACTCTGACGTTTGCAATAAACGTTTTGTTGAAGTTAAGCGCTTGTGTTGTGTGTTCTTTGTGATAGTGGCTGCGCTTCCTAGCAAGATGGATCCTTACCAACTGGCCCGATACAATTGTTTATTAAGGATATCTTAGTTGAAATAAAAAAGAAATGAACATGGGCTGGACCTGTAGCGCGTAGGCAATATAACGGCTGGTCCTAAAGGGTAAGTGACTGGATTCGCAGAGAACGTAAGCGAGTGGGGAGGGGACAGAAGGTGAGGTAGGAAGATGATATTGGGAAGCTTGCGGGTATGAAGTGGCAGCAGCTAACACAGGACCGAGTTGACTGGCGGAACATAGGAGATGCATTTTTTCTGCAGTGAATGTAGTCAGGCTGATTATGATGATGTTGACTTTATCCAAGTTTTTTGATGCCCTCCGATTTCTCTAGAAACTATGACAATGGCAATCCGACTTCAGAAATACCGCAAAACTTATTCTAAGACCTGAAGGATCATGTTTTCAAACTTACAACAAGTAGAAAAGAACTATACCAGAATTTTTATTCTATTACACCTTGTTACATGTAAACACTATCTTTGTGTAGAACATTGTACACCATAGCACAATTCTGCTATAAAAACTGTTAAAACTTTAGTAAGCATGTTCAGATTTTTCGTTAACGCAAGTATACTATGTTCTTCTTTATATATGGTAATATTACCATCTAAATGACCAGATCACTTATTTTTAGAGCAGAGTTACTGTTTTGTAATGTCCATGCAACATAGTTTTTTGTTTGTCTTTGTGGGCTTATGAATTCCTTCCCGTTTCTGTAGGAACTATGACAATGTCAATCAAGATATTGCAGTGGTAAGTGAAGTTTTGCATGTTCCTTAAAGAACAACCATATTTCTTCAGGTCTGCCCAGTGTTTTCTAAATATGAACACTTCCAAGTTTTTAAGATATCTTAAAATTTGATTTTATCATGAACACAGGATGAGACTTCCTTCTATGTCGAGAAATGAAGGAAGTATGCCTATTCATAACGATCATTCACTGGACTCCAACGTAAACTGGTTGCGGGAGCTATAAAACAGAACTGCGATTTCATTCTTGTGCGTCGTTACTGCGAGAACAATATCTCACGATCTAAAGTTTGCGCGGTCATGGGGTGCCCTTGGCACCTGATTCGATGCGTTAAAACGCATTTTACGAAGAACCAGGAGACACTCCTTTACGAAAGCTAGTAAAAAATAAAGACACGCACTGTGCTCAGATATGCTATAACACAGTGTGCCCTCATGCGTTGCCATGTCGTTTCGGTCACTGACTTGCTCGACATCATGATATGTTAATTTGCAGGGGCAGCATCAGGCTAACGATGCTTCCCCGAGCGGATAGTTTCATGTGAATGCTCTATAAGCACAATTATTGCATGCTTTCGTCAACACACTACCAGTCAGGCTGCCAAAACGGATACCATCGAGAACAGTAGGTAAATAAATGAGCCTTGTATTTTCTTAACAGTGGTTAGCGACAAATGATGTGTATGCGGAAGTTGCATTTATGGTGTTATTTTACGGTAATATGGAGCTCCTTTTTACTAAACGCGGGATCGTATCCCGGCTGCGGCGGCTGCATTTCCGATGGAGGCCGAAATGTTGTAGGCCCGTGTGCTCAGATTTGGGTGCACGTTAAAGAACCCAGGTGGTCGAAATTTCCGGAATCCTCCACTACGGCGTCTCTCATAATCATATGGTGGTTTTTGGGACGTTAAACCCCACAAATCAATCAATCAATCCTTTTTACCACACATTAGTTGACAGCAGGTGAATAGGTTCATATAAGCTTATCTGAAACTAGCTGAGTGAGAAAAAAAAACTTTGCGCACTTAGATTCGCACACAACCAACGCAGCAGCACCTGTCTGCAACACGATGCAAACTTCCTTTCCATTTATCTTTAAGGTTACTATAATAGTCGGTCTGCCGCAGCATTTTTAAGTGTGACAGCTTGCGAGCCGAGGTTCTAGCTCTTTTGCACGAGCAGTATTTGTGAATCATGAATATCAAGGCATGTTTGGTACACGGGTGTCTCTTTTAGATATCAACGACGACGTTGTTCCATTCAATGTCTTCAATTCACCCAACCATTTAGCAATAATGGAGGGCGCGACCAGCGTGCTCTAATACTAGTGTGCTAACATGATCTGGTGCTTCGGGAGAACTAAAATAGTGTTATGCGGTAATGACGATGACAGCCCGCAAGGCCAAACACTGATTGATGATTGATGCGTGGGGTTTAACGTCCCAAAACCACCATATGATTATGAGAGACGCCATAGTGGAGGACTCCGGAAATTTCGGCCACCTGGGGTTCTTTAACGTGCACCCAAATCTGAGCACACGGGCCTACAACATTTCCGTCTCCATTGTAAATGCAGCCACCACAGCCGGAATTCGATCCCGCGACCTTCGGGTCAGCAGCCGAGTACCTTAGCCACTAGACCACCGCGACGGGGCGAGACCAAACACTGATGAACAAACTCTGAGAAAGAGCTACGAGGAAAAATATATTTGGGAAAGCATTTACTACTCGGAAAAATACGTAGCATTCAAAAACAAAGATAGCGGCCTTCATAAGTGATATAGCCATCAAAATCATTGTGTTTTGAATGTCACTTGTTTACCTAAGCACAAGGTCGTCCTGGGAAGAACTGTTTTTGACTCTTCATGATTTGGTTATTTTCCGTCACTGAAGAAACTAGAAGGTGCATGCACGAGCGAATGCAGCATAGAGTGCATGTTTTGTCGTCTCGCACGTAGAATGTAATTAATAAAACAGGATATATGAAAGCTGTATCGGGTGACAGCGTTTGACTAAATTCGTGTACATAAATGTCAACCTTCTTTTTCTCTCTATCTCTCTTTGTTCTCCTCCTTCGATATGATAGCTAATGTCGATAACTAAGCGATACCTTTGTAACTGTGCCTATAGTTTGAAACTATATGTCGCTGGCGCATGAATAAAGCACGTGCTTTAAAATGCTTTATGGCGAGAACACCTGACGAAATGTACTCTTAACAATACTACCAAAGTGAACACCATCATTCGTGCCAGCCGCTTTTCTACAAAAACTAAGTAGGACGGAAAGGTTGAAATGTTGAAAGTTATACCTCATTCACCCGTGAACACCAGGCGTGTACGAAATAATCTGATTGGTTGATCTCCGTAACATTTCATGTACAAAGGCACTGTACTATTCGACTCGCTTATACGGTATGGCGGTACTTACGAGTTCTTCCTGGTGCACTGATTTCACAGGTAGCACGGCTTGGACAGGCGCGGGCTTGACGATGCGCGGTTCGTAAGCGGCGCCGGCTAGTGCGGGCGCACCGTGGAGCACCATACCCGGCGACGAGACGGCGTTCAGCAGCACGTGCGACGTGTGAAGAGCAAGGGGTGCGTTGCGGACGCCGCCGGCCTGGCGCTGCGGACACACCGATCACGGGGGCCTGGTGAACGCCCACTTGGGTCACATGCACGGTCACGGGCCCCCCACCCTGAGGCTGAGAGTATCCGGTGGTGTGCAGGGGCACGATGCTGATGCCGACGGGCGTGCCCTGAGGTTCAACCAGGTGCGGCCGCGAGAGCCCTTCGACGATCGTGTGGAAGGGGCCGTCGTGCACCACGGGCGAATCGAAGCCAAGCTTGGCCAAGGCGCTTGAAGTAGACGCCGCTACTGCAAGCGCCACCATGGCGAAGGTCTTCGGAGGTCGGCATCGCACGCCCGAGCATAGAACAAAGCAAAAGGAGCCAGAAATGAATTTCGTGGAAGCTCAAGCTGCTGTGTTGGGTCATAATTTTTTTTTCTCGTGCGCTGATGGCTGCCCGGCCACATTGCGGCAAAGATACTTAAGTTGACGGAGTGCTTCACACCACTGTCCTTGGCGGTATCAATTCGGCTTAAGGTGCATCTTGAACGAGAAATTTGTTCGGGAGATTCGAACTTATGCTGCATTCTCTTTCATCATTTCGTCACCGCATTTATACAAAGGGCATTTATTCAAATTTGATCGTTTCGCGGCAAAAAAAAGTATTTCGTGATTCGGATAACTACTGATTTATCTAATCAACTTTATAGGCTCTTTCATGAACTAAGTACTCGCGCTACCTGAATCAATCATGTTTCATAAGAGCGTTCTCCTAATGCAAGCAACGATTTAATGAAGAAACGTTATGTACCGGAAACGGCTCGAAGCAACTTAGCCTTTCATTTATCTTCCTGTCTTACGATCCGGTTCATTACGGCCTCTTTAACTACTCCACTCGCACCACTCCCAATGACGGGCACGGCAGGCACGCGAGACTCACCCGAAGTATCATGCTGCGGATGAGGTTTTTAGGAGTGCGCGTGCTCGATCGCCCTGCAGTCTATGTACACCTCCGAACAACGGCCCGGGATCAGATTGAATAAGTTAGGGACAGTGGCACGGCACGGTTTTTATAGAAGGATAAGGAAGTGCTCCACTTCATTCCGGGGCGCCCGCACGCACCCCGGTCGTCGTATTCCGGGAGAAAAAGAAGAGTATTCGGCTTGCCCGGACCGGGAGGAGAGCCACCACGTCCGTCGTCTCCGATTCCTTCTCCTCTCCTCCACGCCGCGATGACTACCTCCAAAACACGCGAAAACGCCGAAACTAGGGCGGGGACCCGCAGCGGCCGTCGCTGAGAAAAAAAATAATAACCGACAAAAGAACGAGGAGAAATAGGGGACGGCGGATGCGGCGGTGGTCCTTGCGCTTGGTCCACTTTCGGCGCTCACTGTCGTGGGGGGAATATCGATTCCCCCCTTCTTGCGAGCCTGCTTTAGCGGCAGCCAGCCGCCGCCAATGAAAAAAAAAAGCAAAAGAGAGCCGACATTGTGGTAGGTAGTCCGCGTATGTTCGTCTGTGTGTCGTCGCTTCTTGTTCGGTAGCAGCCGCGTATGTGTAGCATACGCACACACTCGGAGAGCGAGCCTCGCCGCATTTAAGGCACTCCTCACTTTCACGTGTGTGTCGCGCGCGATAACTGCCGCGCCGCGGCACACGCTACTACCGCTGGTGGGAACGCGGTTCCGCCGCCCCTCCGTCATTTCCTCTCTCTTTGCTCCCTCGACGTGGCCGTGCGTGCGACGATAGCGCTGGCGCCAATATGTTGGCCTCGGGCATGGGACACACCTCGTTTTCGGCCGCTACATGCATGTCCACTGCCGACCGCTCGCTTATTACGCCTGGCTCCGCTCGCTGCGGCGGAATGTTGCCCGCTCGTTCGCTCGCGCCCGACAAGCTTGCCTCTGGTGGACAACAATTTACCATACCTCATTATTTCGGCATGTGCGCCGGGCGCGTTTTCGCTGTATATCCTTTGCGCGAAGCGTTTATGCGCGTAGCACAAGAACTGTGCGTGCGTGAGCGTGTTGCTCCGCTTAGTTTCGCTCTTAGCACTTCCTATATTCGCAAGCCAGTATTTACAAGCGATTCTACTGAGGTCGTTTGTCGAGATAGCTCGACCGCATCTCGCGTGCAGGCCAGCTGTGACAACTTGCCTGACGTAAGAACCGCCGAAGAAACACCGGGTTTCTTTTCTTTGACTTCATTCGGGCAGTAATGTTGCAATGACGGATCATTTGATGGTATGGCTAGGTGTCTTAAGAAAGACGCTGACTATTCTCGATGCTAATTTGAGAGGTACGTACAAGCTATAAATATTTTCTGTGGTGGCCCCGGTATTGAGAGCAGTGAATTCTTAACAGTTATTTCAAGTGCAGTCGCGCTCACTACTCATTCATGAACCTGGCATAGGTAAAAGGAGAACAAAGAGGGAACTTTTTTTTTTCTTTTTTCTTGTGAAGATGCAATTTTTTTTCACTATTACAGTAAAGGGCATCGCACTGGCGGATCGCGTTCACGGAGGAAAGACATGTATAGCAATTTTAGGCTTACCTGTTAGGTCGACAAGCCCATGCGTTTTAAACCATGTGAAGAAGATAGCACATGGTGTGAAAGTAAACTTAAATGTATACAATATTATGTTGTTTTTTTTATTTTGTGATGAATTCATCGCACCAAATTACCTATCTCAGGACTAAAACGAACGAAGCATCGTTTCTTAAATACAAATGAACAATTTTATTAGTGTGCTTATCGCTGCGAATAATTAAAACACAAACTACGCGTTACTATAACACTCACTCGGCAATTTATGTAGGGGGAAATGTTCTTCGCTGAGTCTCAAGAATGCGGAAGCCATAAAGGAACACCGAAACAAAGGCACTGGAGCGACATATATATGGAGAATATTTATACCTTAATCGTTGAGCTTCTCTACCTTTGTTCGGTTGGAACAACTTCCGTCAATAATTCGCTACATGTGCCTATTGGCTCGTTTCCGCGTGATGGCTTTGCTCAATGTTTATTGATACGTGCGGTTTAACGTCCCAAAACCACCATTCGATTATGAGAGACGCCGTAGTGCAGGGCTCCGGAAATGTCGACAACCTGGGGTTTTCTGAGCACTCGGGCCTACACTCGGGCCCAAATCTGAGCACACGGGCCTACATTTTCGCCTCCATCAAAAATGCAGCCGCCACAGCCGGGATTCGATTCCGTGACCTGCGGGTCAGCAGCCGAGTATACCCGGCCACTAGACCACTGCGGCGGGACATTGTTTAATGTCGATCCGTGTGAAATATAGCTCCCTTGTAAACTAAAACACTACGATTATCAGCAGTAGCAATCGTGCTATTTCCCAGCATGTTCTGCGAAAAACCAAATGACCGCTCACTTATCGAATCCGATAGGAGACGTGCTCACTTTGCATGCGAACCGACAAACAGGCTTTACACAACGACGAATCGCGATAAAGCTGTTCCAACCTGCAGCCTATCAGCCTGTCAAAGGCCCGCGTGAAATCATTCACGCGCAGCGCGTTCCCGGTATCTGGCGCAGTAGCATAAAACGGAGAGATTCCAGGCGTCATCTATTGTCGGCTCTATTGCGTTTCTTTAAGGGTACTGGAGTGAAAATAAAGGAGGGCTCTTCCGATCCGTATCGAGATCGCAAATCCACGCAAAACTACGCTGATGCCTTCGAGATCGCGGAGGCGGCTACGCACGTTTCGATTTCGAGCCATCGACACGTTTTTCGTTCCTCTCTGGGACAGAATATGAAGGTTCCTGGTCGAATGATTCTATCGGTATTTTCCAGGAAGTCTGTGGCAGAGAGTGGCCGTAGTTCGGAGTCTTGTAACCGAAAGGCTTGCGCATTTCATGCCTGGACGACTAAGCGGAGAAGATATGCGTATAGAAACAGCCAGTGGCTCCACAATTCTCGGCCAATGCTACGGAGGGACGGGCGTATCTCACTATTGGCGTCTTTTTTTCTTTTCCTTCCCGAATCGATAACGACGGCGATATTCGGTTGTTGCATGCTCCTGAATTATATAGGCAGTAAACAGAGGAAAGAGAAATGAACCGTCGGAATCTGAACATGTCAAAAACGCTAAGAGATGACAAGTTGAACGCCAGCGAACGCAACAACAGGAATTACCGACAACGGAACAAGGAAAAGTGACTCACAGTCGTGTGTGCATGTGTGTGTGTGTGTGTGTGTCTTTTTTAACGATGAAAGCTGAAAAATGTTCTGTCTCGTTTGCACCTTGATGCCGTTTAAAGACATTTTAAGCGTCAATTTACACGAAATGAAAGTATCAGATCTAGGAGGAGTGCCAACGCACTATGAAGCAGGAAGAGTGCGACGAATGAGGGATAAAGGAAAGCGCCGAGAACAGGAAGAGCTTCCGAACCACTCGGTAGCTCTTTATATGCTGGAGGAAAACTGGCGTCAAGATTAAGCAGCGTGTGTACACAACCACCGGAAAACATAGGTACAATGTGCAACCCTATTAAGAGGGGGCCAGGAAATTCAGTTTTCGCTCAATCCAGATGTTTGTTCTTTTCTTTTTATGAACACAGGTGCTTCGACGCCAGTTCACTGGCCCACAGCCGGTAAGATCTGAAAGTCGACAGGCTGTCATCATCTTCCACCAAGCTGGTATACGTCCCCATCCGAGACTTGTGTGTTTGTGCTCGTGGATATGAGAATGATTCTAATTAAGCAAGTGTCTACGTGTGACAGCTTGCATGAATGTCAGCTGTCACAAAAAGACACTATACTAATTAAGGATATACTCACATTCATGAGCTCAGGCAAGTTGCATGTGGAATTGTGTTGATTTCAGTTGGCACAGCACAAACCTTCTCTGGACGGCGAAAAATCTTCGATGGCGCTAACATGTAGATAAATTAGTTATTCAACATACAAGTAGTCGTCACGATTTGATAGTTAGAAAATCAGGAAGAACAGCAGAAAATGAATAAAAAAAGTGAACTAGCCATGCCTTTGGTTTCCAACTGGGGAAAAGAGAATGGGGGTGAGAAAAATCAATAGAAAGAAAATCAACACTCGTGCTTCATCAGATCGTCTATATATCAGCACCATCTAAGGTGAAGTACATGAATTATTTTGCTGTCGACCTTGTCGGATCCGGCGCTAGAGTTCTCGGGTGCAGACCCAATGGTCGCGGGTATTATTCCAGCTGCGATGGTCGCATTTTGATGGAGGCGAAATGGTAAAAACTCGTCTACTGTACAATGCCAGTGCGTTTAACGTGCATTTATACCAGAGAGTCGAAATCGTTAGAGCCATCGTCATTG